CAAGAGAAGAAATCTATGGTGGTATTCACAATCCAGCAGGTATTTAGATGACGTTGCTGGGTAATACCCGCCTGCATAGCGTTCGTGTGGTGGGATAAGTTAGTAAGTTCAAATTTATTAGATATCGCAAATTGAAAGGAGCTGGGCATTGGCGCTGACTTTATCGAGGACGTACATAACGTGGATCTTTCGCAAAACAGAAAAATAAAAATAGAGCAGGAAAGTTATTGGAAATTTGAACATCATATTGGTTAGTCATATACAGTAGAGCAGACAAAGTGCTAATAATTCAGTAGACGGAAGAGTAATTTGCTGGTAAAATGAAAATAAACTGCAATATGAAACTCTTCAAATTAGGAAAGTATAGCAGTATAGAACAATGAACTGTGACGCTCATCAAAGTGAAAAGAATCTAAAAAATGAAAGTTAAGTTAAAGTCAGTAGCTGATTCTCTGAATATTTAAGCTGAATTTTCAGCAAGAATAGTAAAGTTTTTGAAAAACATTGAGCACTATACTGTTTATTGCTTATAACCATTTTACATCACCCTATAAGTAATATATTCGGTTCCGGGGTTAACATACTGAAGGTTATCTTGACGGATTAACGGTTCTATCATAAAACTAGAAACATGAGTCAAGGTATTAGGGAGCGTATGACAGCAACTAAAGAATCTCTGGTCGGTTGCCTCATCATTTCTCTTCTAATCAGTTAGCTTACCTATAAATCTAATTAATTGATTCCGAAATCTTCATATCAGCACTAGAATTTCTCCTTTAATTATTGTCGATATTGTAACTAAATGATCTCCAGCCTGGTAATGTTATAGTTACTGGCATCCAGAAACCCTACTTCTCCGAAACAAGCGTACTCATTGAGACCACAGGAAACACAATTCATAAATAACTGTCAACTGAATAGAAGCAGTGAGTTTGAGTGTCTAGAGCGCCATCCAATGGACTCTATCAAATGCCTGGAATCGTTATGAAGGATCAGAATGAAAACACGGAACCAAGTAGAATTTGGGTGAATAAAAATGTACTAGGATTACGGTGAGCAACAACAACACATTCATCACATTTGAGGCTGTAATTTCTATAAAAATAGTTAACGGAATACAAAGTCAATAAAACTTACAAGTTAAAGTACTATTGAAGCTTGATAGCTGTACGAGTTTTGTTGACGATGTATTTTGTATTACTGAATGAGTATCATTTCGATTCACTGACATATGTACCGATTCCACAGACAGTAGAATGTATTCTAATTTATGATTAAACTGCAGTTGAGTACACATTTCCGTTGATTGCTTCATTTCTCTAGGTTCATTCTTTCTAGAAGCCCTATTTAGTTACTTACGTGTGTTACCCCCAAAGGAGCATAAAGAGCTGATCAGCATAGTAAAACATTCTCTGCCATGAACCCTATTGATGATTTCTTACTTCGCTGGAATTTTATTTCTACCCTTCCACATTAGGTTGTTCCTGCTAGTGTCTAGCCAACGGAACCGGAGATAGCATCGGCAGTGATCAGATATACTACTTTTCAGTCTGATAGTACTGAGTCCTCATTCCAAATCTTGTTGGAGTTGCTTTTATTGCCTCTTCTGGAATGTTGTCTGATCTTGCTGCTTCGCCGCTCTTGATTTGTCTGATAGAATTACTGGTTTCCTCAACTGTTGACGGGTGAATATTTGATTGGTGGTTCCGTGGATGCTGATTCACTATTCACTGTGTTCAGTGGAACTGATCAATTCAAGAGATTCCCAATGCTCTCTACTAACCTGTTTCGCTGTTCTGCAACATGGGTGTTTTCCTTACCTTTCTTTATTTTAACTAGTCATTTTGGTTTACTATCTTTTTTGAGCAAGCTTTTTTTATTGAATTGTTCAATTGTATTAGGCTTCCATCCGCCGACTGTCTAGATATTAACGTTTGTCGGCCCTGATGCACTTTTTCATGTGCTTGTTTTCTTTTGCGTATTCAACTTGTGCCTTATCTCTAATGCTCATATTCAGGTGAAGTTGACTACCACCTTCTTGCAGCTTCTTTCTTGAATCTTATCAGAAATATCAGAAGAAATTCATTCTTAAGATGATAGTTCTTGTGACTCATACACTCGTGATATATTGGAGTGCTTGTTTCCTTGAACACTCACCAGTTGTTCTACATGAACGTTTCCGTTCTTTCAGTATATCGTGAAAATCCTGGAACCCATTGTTGAGAAGTCTGAAATTGGTTCAATTTATCAGTATCCCGTAGAAACGTCATGCTAAATTTTGTAATGTTTTCCACCCTGTTTTCGGCTGTTTCTCCAGTTTCAGTTTCATTTTGATGATCAGGAAGTGAGGATCTGAGCCTACATCGGCTCTTCTCTTGATTTGCCCGTCTTCCATCGTCTTTCTGAACGGTGACTAATGCAGATATGGTCGATTGGGTTCTGATTACAGTGATCTGGTGAAATCCGTATAGCCTTTCGTATGTGTTTGTATGGAATTATTGTTATCAGTTTGTTGAAGGAACATGGGTTTGGACTTTCTAGACGACCAGTAAACGTATTTCCTCTTATTGAATTAAACGTGTAATAGGATGCTCAGTGACTGTGAACTTATGAGAAACTTATATGATGTTCACTGATCTTACAAGCTCGCATGCTTCCGTTCTCGTTCAAAGTAACGATTTCTTTAACCGAATCGTTGAATATTATTTATGGCTGATAAATCATCAATTTTTACCCAATTACTGAACTCCCATTTGTTCATTAAACACATGTGAGAGTTATTTAATTACATATATGTTCAGTCTATCTCTGTTTGATCTTGATTGTATGGAGTTGGACCACTCTAATAACGTGCAGGATATATGAAAATAATGAATTTGTGAAAACAAAACAATGAAAACTATCAGCCATGTGTAAAACAATAAGTCATATGAAATGATTAAGGCGGTTGACCTATTTACTTTAAATTCGGTTAAGTATCATTTATGTGCTACTTAAACCTGACTCGCACTCCGATGTAATTGATTTGAATAAACGTGACTGAAACGACTAAATGTTTTCCATTGTTATTGACAAGCTTGATGGATGTTCCATCTAATAGTGGTGTTATTAAAATTAACTCCTGAGTAAGCTGTAATCTAATGAAGCTCTCTAAAATGTATGTTACTAAAAATATGCTTAAACCTATTCGTTCTCAACTCTTGAATTTATATTGATTACCTAAAATTCATATGCCCAGTAATCTGTTTCAACCGATATGTGATAGACATCTACAATTCAAATAGTGAAATTGTTATCTACACGGCCTAAAGCAAACCATAACAAGTTGTGTATGTTTTTCCCAAACGATATAATTTCAGTATTTAGTGTTTTTGATGAAGTTAAAAGTAGTACTGCATTCGTTTGATGCAAACTCGCTTTTTACTAATACATCTTCGATCAAAACTGCTAATTTGTCTCGGGACTATACAGTGAGTAACATTTTTGAATAGTTGACTTCACATCTAAGGGCGAAGTGTTTGGATAAGTTGATAGCGATGCAACAAGTAGTCATTTTGAACCTTCCTAAGCTGACGTATAGCAGGCACATGTCAAAAATATTTTAAGTGAGCTCATCAACTAAGGAAACTCTTTACAGAAGGGATATTATTTACTTTTGATAAACATTTCAATGTTGGTCAATTACTAGATAAATTCAATAGTGTGAAGAATGACATAGTTCAGACTTATAAGTAAGAAATTAATGAACCACTTCCCCTTTTAGATATTCCGCTTGGTCGAAGGAAGGATGGGACCATCAAGCTGTCAGTTTGAAGGATCTCGAACGTGATTGGAAAATAATAAAACTTCTACAGCTTTTTACACTGCAACACAAGTAGGGCTTGATAATATACTTGTTCAATGTGCTTCAAAGAACGATGAGACACTTTTGAATAAAAAGCTCATTTTAAACGGTTATCTACTGAGGTTTAAAAATAAGTGCAAAGTCAACAAGTTCAAAAGGCTTTCCTCAGTTTTGCTCTGACAAAAAGTGTTTACATGTCTATGCGATCGAGATGTTGTTCCAACAGTTGTATTTTAAGACAAATACTAAAAGCAGCCATCAAGAAAACATACTACGCAGCCAAACTGACTGTAATTAAAAAGACAAATCCCATGATTCCATTTAGGCCCAGACGTATTGTTGGTCCTGTCGAAGTAGATTTCAATCGCAGAAATTATGCCTTACAAACCTTTTTCGAATGATACATAGATGTTCAATTAAGAAATAACTCGTGAAGGTTTTACTGACTTAAACAGTCTAAACTCACTAAGTCATGATTCTATTGTGTAATTCTCTCTTATATTTAATCATATGTGCTGCTGATCAGTTAAGTCATTCGCACTGAATTGTCGGCTGAAACATTCAGCAGAATAGTAAGGTCGTAAGAACAGAAAACTCTTATAATCGAAAATTGTTTGTCAGTCATCTTGATGGTGATTATGGAGTAGTTACATGAATGAGAGAGCAAGAGAAAGTAGAATAATGATTAGGAAACAGTCTGTCATAAATGACAATTAAACCAAAACTGATAACAATAGTTCCAGTGTTATTAGTAACGGTTCTTTGTACCGATGAGTTACACTACTACTATCACAATTGTTATTTCGATACACTATTAGGCATTGATTTAGGAAACTGGGCGAGTGTAACTGCTGAGAAAAGAGCAAGAATGCCATTCTGTAGTTAGCGTTTCTTCATTAAGCTGTAATATAATCAGGATATGCATTTAATTTTTTATTACCGCTGTTGAGGTAAGCACTTTGAGATTGATCGATTTGCATTTTTGCTGTTAGGCGTTGTAGTTGTTCTGGGCAAACGTTCTTCTAAATTAGAAATTACTGATTGGTCAGCCTAATGGACTGGTTACATGCAAGTGACAGAGGTAGATAGAAGACAAGTAAACTAATTATTCCGGAATAATAATTTTATTTCTTTCCGTCTATATACGTATTCTCATTTAGTTATCAATCTTTTCAGGATTTAGTATATCTGACTTTATATAAACATACAAACAAAACATTACAATCACGTATGTTGTAAAAAATTCATAAAAACTGATAAAGTTAACTTGTAATGTGGAATAATAACTTGGTTGACCTGTTTTCAATTGATTTGTTATCATGAAGTTTATCTGGAAATTGTTTATGAAAGGAAAAGACAACTTTATTATTAGGAAACATTTGAAGAGTATATAAATATATATATGTGTATGTAAAACTGAAACCACGATTTTGGTCTCGCACTCGAACTCTTAGCTTCCGAAACACTAACCCGAAATCCAACAGTGTTATCATTGAAGATTTATCAGCTGACGATCTTGCTAAACGTCCTTTACTCTCGTTGGTGAAGACTGCTTCACACTGATCAGATTTCGCCTACACATATAAAAAATTCCTGATGAGGCCATTCACTTGTTGTGGCATTATAATTTTCATTAAGACGTTGTGTAGATAGTTGAATATCAAGAAAGTCACGAATCAATCAAGGCTGATTATGGAGGACATTGGTTGCAGATGCGTTCCAAACTACATCAAAACGGCCATCTGGTGCTTCTACCGTTGACAAAACACTGTTTAATCCACGATTACAAAGATATTCTGATAGAAATGTTTCCAAACTCCTACTTTTGAGAATGATTTAAAAAACATAAATAGAATTCTTCAAAGCTTAAATAACAATCCGTTTGTTCCGTCTTCCTCCATTTCCACTATTCTTTCGTATTTTGAAAGTCTCAACAAAGAATGGTTTCTTTAAACTCACTGATTTGATTACCTGTCATTTACATTGGGGCTTTATCCATGTAATAATGTGTACAAAGGTCGATTTATTCTTCTTTGAAGTTCAATAAAATCGTTCGGTAAAAATCATTTATCGCTATACGATATATATTTAAATATATACATATATATAACAAGGATTATTTCCTAATTGCAGTGAAACAAAATAATTTCCGTGATTCTTTAATGAAAAGTCGTTAAATCGGCTTGCCAGTGACTAACATCGTGACAAAGCTCTGCCTAGTGTTGTTAAACCCTATCGAGTATAGGCAGTTACTGCCAAAAACAGTGTGTGGGCTCGTGCAATAACAAGAATCGATTAAACTTAGACGTGAACACGTCTGATTTGTCTACAGTTTAGGCGTTTGCAAGTAATCGAAGGACCTGAATACGATTTTTGAGATCAAGGATCGTGAATGCGCAAAGTTCATCAGCCCCATACAATGAAGTGACGGCCACCCAGCGCTTCCAGGTATTTATTAGTGATCTAACAATAAACGATTCACAGGTTCTGAGCATCTCAATAATCTTCATAATGCTATTAGATATACATGTTTGTAATTCATTCAATATACCAGTCCCGAGCTTTCACATTGACAGATTTACAGCGGTTCACTTTTGCTGTTATAACATTAGATGTATGAGAGCGTCACAGGCACACCGCGTAGCTTCTGAAGACTTGAAGTAATAAGAAAGAAAAAAGGACACATTCAGCCGAAAATCCTAATGAGAGATAATAATAATGGACAGCGAGTGGATGGAATGTGAGACAAACCCCCGAGCAGAGTTTGTTGGAGAATGCTATTCGGCGGTCTGTGCTTCGTTCGGGATAGCAGGTTTAGGTAATTGAGTACGTAAGTATATTTGTAAGTAAATAACTAATTATTTAAGTCAGATGTAAAGCAGTTAACTGTTTTTCATAGGTCATTTACCACTTTAATTTATTATTTTTAATACTGCCATTCAAACCGAAAATTAATTTATGTAGCAATCATACCTCACCCATCATCTAACAATTATTACTGTTATTGAAACTTACAAGAACCATAAAAGAGCACCAACATATACAGGATAACGCAATGACGAATTTCTAAAAGTACCAAATAAGTCTAAGATTATTCTCAGTTGATTTGAAAAACATCCATCGGTTTATGGTTAAATCGTATGGAGAGATTTGAACGATAATTTACAAAATAAAATTAATTTTTTCCACTGAAATACATTGTTTATGAGGTATATTTACTGTTTACTTTTATTATTTTCCATGCTGTTCAGAAAAAGTTATATGGTGTTGCACAAAATGCTCAAGATAACTTAAAGAGTTTCAGGTGAGAATTTAAATATCATTAGGAATAGTGCGTCGACAGTTTTAAACTTCCAAATTCCTGTCAACTGTTTTTGTTATCTAATACTAACCCTTTACTGCACTCACACCTTTCCACTTGTATATCACCTGATTGGGAAAGATATCATCTCATTAGAAAACAAGCATTCAAGTAAAGTATAAGAGCTCCACGATACCTTATTCAGCAAATGAATATTGAATACATACGCGTACCAAGCGACAATGTCAGAATATTGCATTTCCAGTCATGCAGTTTTTGTAGTTTAGTTGGTTTGTAGAAGAAACTTGGTGGAATATTCTGCATTGAGAGTCCCATAAAATACTGAAAAAAGATTTTGTTATTATTATTATTATTTTCACTTGCCATCCACTATTCATCAACTAATATTATTACATTAAAGTTATCTTTGTACTGAGATGAACATCTGAAGCACTCAACTATTTTTTAAGGACAATTAGATTAACATAACATAACCGGTAAAGCTTTTGACAAATGATGTAGGTTTTAGTTTGAATGTTAATCATTTTAAGCTCATAATAATAAAGTGTTTACAGACGTCAGTTGTTTTCTGGAAATCATATATAATATCGGATAAAATGTACTTTCCGAATACTTCGGAAAAAAGAATTACAAATAATAGTATTTTTCAATGTCACGAAAATTAAAACATACATAGTAGAGGCTTAGAATCATAAGTATCATTCCTAGTAATGTCAATACACCTGAAAATATCAGTAAAATTGCCTTGGATTGTTCAGTCAAACTAGGAATTCTCAAACCAAATATAATTCCAACGAGAGTTACAACAAATGTTGAAAATGCAGAAATGATTGTGTATTGCAGTTTAAAAAAGCTTTTCAACAACACAAAATCAATACAAGTTAGAAGCATCTGAAATTGAAAATAAATATGATCATAAGAAAGTACATCGTTTTTCCATTATCCAGCATTTGTGCGTCAACAAGTTCACACGGTAGTCATAATAATTTCGTAAATGCAAAACAAAATTTTAGACACATCCAATGATCGTCTTTAGTTGTCTGCATCTTACTTTAATACTAACATGGTTTTCAGTCAAAATTCGTGAGGATTTTAACTCCTCCTGTTAAACTTTCGGGGCTGCTGCCGGTCCTTAGAACGGATAAAGGAGGAGGGTTAGACATGGGGTTGGCGTACCTATTCCGTCTAAAATTAACTTGACAAAAGCCGCTCACCAGAAAAAACTAATTCAAACCATTTTAACTCTGCCCTAGGAGTTGGAAGAAGAATTATGATGTCGCATGAACCGAGTTCCCTCGAAAGTCACGGAGCCGATGCCTTTTCTGACAACCAGAGCAACCATTTCTTTTGAGTACATGGGTCGTTCTTACATTGTGGGAGACTCGAAGACTATTTCAAATTGCGGAAGAAATAAAAAGATACAACCTCGAGGTGCTCGGCATCAGTGAATCAAATCGGACACAGGTGGGACAAATGAGACTAGCTTTAGGCGAACTGCTCTCTGGTCATGAAGAGCAAAATGCTTCATATACAAAAGCACATGCACTGATGCTGTCCAAACATGCACAAAAGCCACTGATAGGATAGGAATCTCATGGACCGAGGATCAATAAGGCATCCTTCAAGATTAAGTAAGAAGACAATACAATGAACGTCATCCAATGTTATGCACCTACCATTGATTACATTGACGACCTTAAGAATCAATTCTGCGAACGAATGCAGTCAATATTCGAGAAATGTTCACCAAAGGATTTGACGATTCTTATGGGAGACCTGAACGTCAAAGTTGTAATGGACAACACTTGGTATGAGGACATCATGGGACGACATGGATTGGGAGTAAGGAGCGAAAACGGTGAGAGATTTGCAAACCTATGTGCCTTCAACAAACTGGTTATCGGTGGCACAATATTCCAGCACAAGCGCATCCACAAAGCCACATGGATTTCATCGGACCACACTACTCAAAATGAAATCGACTATATCTGTATCAACAAAAAGTTCAGAAGGACCATGTAGGTTGTGAGAACAAAGAGAGGGGCTGATATAGCATGAGATCACCCCTTACTTGTCGCTCAAGTAACACAGAAACTCAAGAAAAGTTGGATAACTGAGCAGACAACATCACATGCTTTTAATACGGCCTTTCTTCCGAATACCGTAATAATCAACGAATTCAAGATAACCCTCAGCTATAGGTTCCAGGCCTTTCAGGATCTACTCAATGGAGAGGAAGGAACATTGGAATTAAGTAAGCAATCACTTCAACATGTCACAAAGTTTGGGGTCACCAGTAGTATCGTCACAAGGTTTGATATCTGTTGGTTCCGTTGCCAAAATTGAAGAAAGGAGGAACAAGAAAGCAGCAATCAATGTCAGCCGATCATCCTTATAGACTACGAGGAAGCATTCGATGGCGTGGATAAGATAACATTGTGGAGGCTCTTTCGACACTACAGTGTGCCTGAGAAAATAGTTACCATCATACGAAATTAGTATGATGGATTCAACTGCGAAACCGTGCAAGGTGTTGAACTGACAGACTCTTTCGTGGTTAAGAACGGTGTCACGCAAGGTTGCTTACTCTCACCCTTTCTCTTTCTCCTGGTGATCAACTGGATTAAGAACACGTTCACATGTGGAAGGAAACACAATATACAGTGGACAGCAAATCGACGATCTGGATTTCGCAGATGACCTGACTCTCCTACCGCACACTCAGCAACAAATGTAAGAGAAGACGACTAGTGTAACAGCAGCCTATGCAGCAGCAGGTCTCAACATACATAAAGGAAAAAGTAAAATTCTCCGATGCAATACAACATGCACCAAACAAATCACTCTTGATGGAGATGCCTTGGAGGACGTTAACACCTTTACATATCTTGGCACCATCATAGACGAGATAGGTGGATCCGATGCAGATGTGAGAGCGTGGATTGGCAAAGCAAGGACTGCATTTCTTCAGTTGAAAAATATCTGCAAATCCAAACAAATGACAGCTAAAACCGAAATCAGGATTTTCAACACAAATGTCAAGACATTCCTGTTGTATGGAGTGGGAACTTGGAGAACTACTAAATGCAATCATCCAGAAGATACAAGTGTGTATTAACAGTTGTCTACACAAAATATTTCGTATTCATTGGCCAGACACCATGGGAGAGAACAAACGAGATTCCGGTGGAGGGGGAAATCAGGAAGAAGCGGTGGAAGTGGGCTGGAAACTCACTACGATAGCACCTAGCTGCGTCGCGAGACAAGCCTTTAAATTGAATCCTCAATGTAAAAGGAAAAGAGGAAGGTCAAGGAAAATATTACGCCGAGAAATAGAGAAAGACATGAGGCGAATGAAAAAACATTGGGCAGAACTGGAAAGTGAAGCCCAGGACACAGTTGGTTGGAAAAACCTGGTGGGCGGTCTATGCTTTATTGGGGGTAACAGGCTTAAGTAACTAAATTGTGAAGATTTTTGGATTTTACTGAAATCATAAATCGACCATTCTTGATTCACCATTAGAAACCTAGAATTACAGAATCTGCGTTATTATTCGTCAGTAATGCGCTTTCGCAACAGACAATCTTGAGAATCGGACAGCGTAACTTCCTTCTCGCTCGACAGCGCTTAACCTGTAGATCATACTGCTAGTGTCGATTGGTGTTAGTTCCTAGCAATTATGGTCACCAACTGCTCTCACGGTTCTGAGTATAAAAGTGTCTATACTTTTGGAAGTTGAATTCCGTTGGTCATGCAGTTCAGGTTTCAGATTTTGGTCTAAAAATGATCAGTTTATCATTTCGACTAGTCTTTTTCACATAAACCTGTTTATTGAATTGTATCAGCATTTCTTCAGCTGATTGTTCCTTTTAAAATACTTTCAATTGTCTAAGGCTAAATTACAAATCAGGAATTGAGCACTATGTATTTACAATATTTATTGCATTTCAACTTTGTTAATTTCCCTCAGATCTCAACTCAGCTGAACATCACTTAAAAATCAACGGAATCATTATAATGAAAATAGAACATTATCAGTCATCATTTATTGAAGAATGTCACCCATAATTGCCTGCAACTGAGCTACGACTATCACGCAGTTCCATGCCATATATAACCATTCAAATGTGATATTTATACAGCTGTGTCTAATCAAACAACAAATTTTTTTGAAGATTGTTATTCAACACATTTGATTTCGTTAGTCGCAGCCGTGCATAGTTTTTGAACTTTGATTGAACTCATCTGTTCAAAACTAGAATCGCCAAGTGCAGTGTGCATTCACAACAAATTGATTAGAAGTTTATTCTTTATACACAACCATACATTTGTTAACTATTTCATCGAACGATAATGATGATTATACAAGCAAATCATTTGTTTTATTTAAAAACACACTTTTAAGACTCACTGATGAAATAATGATTAATTTGATCCAACGAGATAAACTGTGAGTGCTTTGGCTGAGTGAAATAAACAGTGCTAGATTTAGACCAATGAAACTGAAATATGAAAGGCGAACATATTATTCAAAGCAAATAATAAGTCATAAGACCAAGTTTCCACTAGTAAAATTGTTCACAATTCTATTGTAACATCAATTCTTAACGTTCAAATCATTGGAAGCACAAATGTGATCAAAGAAATAACTTGGTTTCTTATGTAAATAAAAATATAAAGGGTTTTGAATTATGAATTTTGTTTGTGACGTGATAACCTTTATACACTAATTATCCTTCGTACTGAATTCATCAAATGAATCGTTCAAGCTAACAGTCAGTTAGTATTTACCATATTAAAATCGAAGTACCAAGTGCAAATCAATACGAATGCATCGTGTTTACTGAAGACAGATTGATTTTCTACTTGAACTTATATAAATCTCATTTTCTTTGTAGGTTGATTCTACCATTCTGTTGAAAATTTCACGTCTACATCTATAGGTGTTCAACTCAGCGATATATGATAATTCAGTGAAACACAATAACATCCATTATAAAAAGAAACTTACATGCACGTCAAGCCGATCACTATCACAGCCTCACGAAAACTAATCACTGTACTACAATATAAATATGAAACTAGGTGAAGGATTAATCTAACGTTCTATTCAAATTTGAAGTTGAAGAAACAAAGGATTCATCATGCTGAAAAGAGGAAACAGTAGCAGTATAATCAATAAAGTGATTGTTTTGATACCATATCAACATGTGATCCATGAAATTCAAGGAGAATAATGTATGTCTGAAATAAAAAATAAATGTATCTTCTATAATCACGAGTTGATCATTAAACTTGGGCCGAGTTTAACGATTACAATGATTGTGTATGCATATAAATGGAAATAAACATTGTTATGATCGATATTTAGATCAGAACAAAAATAAAGATTTGATTAGAACAGAATGATTCACTTGATTATGTCGGTTTTTGTCAGTTGTTCACAGTCTGTGTATGAAACACAATTTTATTACGATGTATTGTTTGAAATTGTTTACGCGATTCGGTTAGGTCAGAAGTCGGACAAGACATGCTTCAACATCGCACAATTAGAATACAAATGAGATAATAATGTTGTTGTAAATGACAAAATATCTAGTCCATCAGCTAGCGACTCATGCATGTAAATTCATACATGGACCATGAAATTACCATAATATTCAACAATCCAATCAAGCCAACGCTAAATATTTATACAGCCATATTCATACTTTTATTTTAGTATTGTATGATAACTAGAGGTTTACTCAATAAGAATCATTAAAACGTACATTCTTCCAATGTAACTAATTTGTTAACACGTTCATTGAAATATAAAACTCACTTTGATGTATCACCATTCTCCTGTAGATTTCCGATTATTATGTTTATTAAGATTTACATGAAATCCTTAGAAATATGTCACGATAATATTTATCGACCCGTTACTTACATCGCTTGTCTCTACCGTTATATAAATTCCAATCAAATTATAACTGAATACATAAATCACACTTTTATACAGTTTGTAAATGATAGAGAGTAAGTGGATTCACTCTACTTTGATCACATAATAAAAAATACACAATTACTTAATAATACAAACAGAGATTCTAAATTTTAGAAAAAACGAAATAGACTTTACGAAGAAATGATAATTGTTTCGTTCAGGAAATACATTAATGCAACTGTTTGTGTATTCTTCAGATGAAAAAGTATGTCATTGCGCATTCACCACTATGTTTTGACAAAAAAAATCATGTAATTAATAACGCCTCAAACAAGAACAAACTAAATTATTTAAATATGCACATTGGAATAGTTACACTTTGATCAGTTTCGAAAGAAAAATCTTTGACCAATTTCTATCAGTAATCTTATGGTGAATTATACTGTATATACACTTTGAACTTGTATATATGAAATAAATGATGAATTTCTAGGACCCTTTTATAAAATGATGTTGATACTAGATATTTTTTTGCAACTAACTGTTTTTATGGAGATAATTTTGCTCACCCGTTTGAGAATTATCGGAATGCTAGTGAGAATCCATGACGAATAGTATTCAACCCTGTTGCGTTTGAGCAGTTTCTAACAAAAACAATGGATCGCTCATTTGCAGGAATCGGAAAAATGTTTGTCATTAGAACCGTTTTATGTTGTTTGGATGGTCCAGAGTTAAAGTATTCGCAGATCGTCACAAAAGCTGTGTGCTTAAAACCCGGTAGTGAAATCGTTAATACTCACTGCTGATGGCAGGGCGTAAAGACCGACAAGTGCTTCCAGGATTCGAAAGGTAGTCTTACAGAAATTATTTAATCACAATGAAGAAAAGCTTTTGTTTTGAATCATGAGAAGAATGTACGCAAATTGGATCGAACTAGAATATGTTCGAGAATGCTCCTGGGCAGTCTATGCTCTCCTGAAGGTAATAGCCGAAAGTATTTAAGTAACTAAAATATGTTGTGTCATACTCGTGACTACTGAAGAAACCCGGCCTTCAGCATGAGTAGACATAATGAAAAGTTTCTAATTTTTAGGGCAGAAAATAAACGTTTTGAATTATTTTTTATGATTAGAATAGTTTTAGCGGGTTGGTTTTCTATGAGGTAGTGTTTTGAACCATACTACCTCTTCCTAAATATGCATATGAATTGTTAATGGTGGGAGCGTTCAAAAGGGGAAATCGGTGAAATGATTTGTCTTATAATTTTCATGCTTTCATAACCGAAAATCGTAATATGAATTTTATAATTTTGTAGAGGGAAGCCGTATATACATTTCTTCTTCAAAGAAAGAAACTGAAGGTTTTCTGATATATGCTTTCATTATGCCTAAAGCTTGAATAGCAAATTGCAAAACTGTAATCAAAAGACTGCATCAGATATACGTGTTAGGGTCAGTGCTACTAACTACTTACTACTAGTATGAATCGAAGTATCATTAGGAAGTAATACTTTACTAAAGACCAGATGACATACGAGATAGAACAGCCAGTCGCATGCTTGTATTGAACGCGGATGTTTGAGGATAAGATGCATGTATTCTGCCATTGAAACAATTAGCGAGAGCACCTACATAACGTGGGCAAGTCTTCATTTTATACAATCAGACGCTTCTTATATATGCAACATTTTTATAACTGATATATTTTGGAATATACTGTGACTACGTGCTTTCAGTGGTTCTTTCTTATTCAAAATAGCGACTACTGATAATTTATTCCGTAATTTGTATGACATGATGTAGAATTTACTCGTTCAGGATTTCCATTGCGAATTCACGAATATCCTGTCATCATTGTGACGCTACATCAAATTAAACACATGCTGGTTGACCAGTTCTTTACGTTATGTTCAGTCAATAATATGTTCGCGATGTTATAAACTCTCGGTTTTAATTGCTTAGGATTGCTTCGTATCATTAGCACGACACTAACAAATGCTGTTTTGCACAATCCAATTATCTTGGCGATACATAGATTCGCTAAATGGATACCTCACAAATTTCGAGGTTGATTTCTCTCTATTTCAGCTCACTTTTTGCACGATTTTCAGTTGTGTATTCAATCAGTATTGCAAAATATGGACAGGTTTTAAGCATTCCGAAGTTCTTTTCATTGCCAAGCAGATATTTAAAGTAGGAAGGATTTGAATGTGTTCAACCTGCTCAAATGATCAGAATTTACCTGGTGAAGATCTGGTGAGAGGTAAAAGTACTATTGCAAATCCTATAAGTTATTTCCATGAAGTCTGTACTGTGTATTACGGTGACAACAAAATCGCTGTTTATTATTGCATGTCTGTGTTTTATTCTCAGCATTGTGTGTTCCGTACTTTGCAGCTTTTTCTATGCCCAAGAAAGCATCAAGTGACCACTTATCTTGTAACATAGGTAAATGATCTCCTATTGTTTGTCCTATTCATTCCCTAGCGCTTCTCAGTTTTATTTAACTGCTAGAATCAGGTTAACTCTTGACCATAGTAAGTTGTGGCTGATAGTGTCAGATCAACAGTTGCTCAGAATTGCTAGGAGACTGCTGTTAATTACCACATGTGTTTTAAGAATGATGGCTTTCGAAGAAAAGTAATTTTACCCACATACATGATCAATCTTTCGTCGTTTGTATTGAAATTTTCCACTTTCGTTTTTGTCAGAAGTTGAATTGAGTTCAACATGCTTTTCACGATTTCAACTCAATACCCTGCTATGCTAACCCGTGACTTCAGGTCTGCGTCAGATCTACAATGTAGTTGATGCTTAATAGCAGTTGTAGCAGTCAAAATCAGTAAAGAGTGTGGCTACTTTAAATTGTTCTTTTTATCGAATAATGATATGTGACAAACAAATTATGAGATTGGAATTCGAAAACTCATCCATCCTTATATTTTGAACACATAATCACCGATGTAACGATTTTGTTAAAATCCACTAAGTGTTTATGAGAAATGACCTTCAAATCCGTTATCAATATCACCTACTGACAGTCACAATTTAGCGAGAAACAAGTTCGATTTATGTTTCCATCGTTTTTTAACAGATTCGGTATATGACGATTTATTGAGTACCTGTTATGGGATGAGGTGAGCACATTTTCGGGATTCTTTTGAATCATCATCACTAACCTACGTATTATATCTAAGGCTGGTACTCAACAAAATAATGAACTGATGTTCATGCGGCATTTTGAAATGATTGAAGTTAAATAATAACACCGGTATTGCTACCTCTTTTTCTTACAGGTTGAAAAACAATATCTGATACATCAGTTTTACATTGTTGGAGTTCAGATGGATAAGTTCACTCTAGTTTATGGTCTAGCAGGTGAAATTAAAGTGAGCAGGTGATGAACGATATTTTTGTTTCATCCTGTAGGATGATTTCTTTGAAGATCTGAATAAACGTCAGAGAAACATCTAACAGATTGTGGTGTATGTAACGCAATATTGATAAAATAGCCATGATAAACATAACTGAACACATTTAAATTCAATGAGATTGTTTTTAAACAATGAAGAATAAGTCATCATCGATAATGGTTTCATTGTGTAAATTTTTTATTTGACAAACAATGAAAGAAATAATTGACATGAATTTGTGAAATAATCAACAGTATCATTGACTCTAACGAAGATACCGAAACCATATAAAATCGAGAGTAATCTTCTGATTTGCCGTATTTCAACAAATAATAAATGGTCAGTGACATCACATGTGATTGTAAAGATGATATTATCAAGAGTAACAATGAAAAGTTGAACACGTCATATTTATGTGATCAAACTAAACACATTAGAAGATAAAGTGTGTAATGTTTAGGAATTTCGCATCATCAAAACAAACAAATAACAAGTGATTGTCTTGTTTGATCATTTGATCAATCAAATATTCTTACACACTCAGACGAGTCTCAACAACATACAGTTGGTTGACGAAAGAAACAAACAATATCAGATCTTCACTATTCAGTGTCCAATTATCAAACCTTTTTATTATGATACTGGAACTAATGACATTTTCACTTTCGAATTCTCATAAACAGATATGCAGAATGCATTGTTTAAACTGTGAAAATGCTTCTATTCTAGTTTATGTCTGTAGTACGATATTCGGCAATGAGAATCGTACGGAGACAGTTAAATATGTGAAAATGTAATTAATCATGTGTAACTTACAATAAACATCGCACCACACCAATAAATGAAGGACAGAATTGCGAATGTAATCTGAAACGAAGGGACAAAAATTTCTATTTGAAATCGTTTTGTGAATATTTTATTGGTAAATATTTTGAGTGCTGTGACAACGATATTATTGCAGTTAGTTTGGTCTGAGTGCAGTGAATTTCATTTTCACAGTGTGAACAATATACTACTCCACTGCTTATCCATGAGAGCTGATGATACAACAAATAAGCTGGCTTTTAACTCATCAGACAGTAATTCACCCGATGAATACTGTTTTGGTGCTGTGGTGCGAACTACTTATAAGTAGTATATAGCGTGAGTGTCAACGTAAAGTCTGGTAGCATAAGATGGGTGGAAGATCAAGAAAGGAAGAGTCAGAAAACAATGGAATTTGTATGAAACGCATGAAGAGTGACAATGGATTGATGTTTGGCAACAGGAACAGTCCAGTTCCATAGGATGAACTGATCCTTTGCAAATGAACGATTTACGATATGGTTTTCCGGTTTTACTGAGTAACTCTGTAATTTTCGTTAAATACAATTCGGTTGCCCCCACCTGTGTTCTCATTCACTACACTGTTAGCGTAATTTGTACACCTGAAAAGACCACAGTACTTCGTAATGTTCTATTGAAACGTCATTTGGTATATGCATGAGGGCAGATTGAACCTAAGCGATGGTCGTGGTTCAATCGAGAAACGGCTGATTTTTCCAGCAGTTA